GGTATGTTATTTAGAATTATCTTTAAATATGAGTGGCAGAAAATATAATAATAGTGGTTGATAATGATTATTCCATGTTCATCAAAGCACCAGGCTTTTTCTGTATTGTTCCTTTGCCATCTTTAGGACCATGAGCTCTGCCTCATGGTCCACATGAATATTCATAGGAGCATTACTCATAATAGCCACAGAATGGAAGCCAAATGTTTTCAACTCATGAATGAATAAAGAAACTGTGATCTCTCCATACAATTGAACATCATTTATCCATAAAAAGGAATGAAGTCTGGGTGGAGGCTACAGTGTGGATGAATCTTGAGAACATCATGCTGAGTGAAAGAAACCAGACACCAAAGGCCACATATTAAATGAGTCCACATATAGGAAATATCCAGAATAGCTAAATCCAGAGAACAGAAAATAAATTAATGGTTGCCAGTGGCTGGGAGGAGAATGGGGAACGAGGGCTATCAGATGGTGGCTGGGGCTGGAATCATTTGAAGATGTGAAGAAGGTGCACTCACGTGACTTCTGGTGGATGCTGGGAGCTCAGCAGGGCCCGTGACCATGCACCCTGGATTTCATATGGCCTGGTAACTGAGTTACAAGAGTCAGTATTGCACAGACAGGAAGAGGAGACTGCCAGTCTCTTAAGGTCTGGACACAGAAACCGGTGCAGGTCTCTTTGCCATATCCTTTTGGTCAAAGCACTCCGGATCCTACCCTGATTCAAGGGGAAGGGACGTAGACATAGAACCCACTTCTCAGGGAATGTCAAAGAATCTTTGACATTCCCTGAGAAGTGGGTTCTATGTCTTAACCTATCCTTTATAGTTATATTTTCACATTAAAATTTAATAAATGCCTCTGGAGGGCTGGGGTTGTGGCTCAGTGGTAGAGCGCTGGCCTAGCATGCATGAGGCACTGGGTTCAATCCTCAGCACCACATAAATGTAAAATAAAGATATAAAATAAATAAATAAATAAATAAATGCCTCTGGGACTCATTTTATTCTTTATTTTTTTCTGTGACATTAAACAGATTTGACAAATTCTGTGTACAGTGAGATGTCTTTTGGCCCAGATGAGTTTGACTTCTTTCAGATTGGATTGGATACAGAAATAACATTTTGCTTCAAAGAATTGAAGGTAAACAAATATTTGTGTCAAATTCAAATTCAGGTTTTTACTGGTATTTTTCATAAAGATTTAAAGTTTTTTTAAATTTTCTTCCTCAGGGAATGCTGACGTTTTCAGAAGCTATCCATGTTCCTATATCCATTCATTTTGATTTTCCTGGAAAGTAGGTCCTTGGGAACTTTTCTGAGTTTCACTCTTTTGTGATAATAAAACCCTTGGAATCATGGTGAAATTAATTAACACCCCAGGATTTCCTTAACTTTACTAGCTTCATGTATCAAAGTAAAGTTTTGAAAGATGCCAAATGGCATTTTTAAATTGGAACTTGATTGAGAAAGATACATGTTTTTGCAGAGTGAAATATTTATAAATTTGACATGCTGCTGAATAAATTGCCTAATTAGAAAACCATATATGGCTTAAGCAAGTTAAAATCCCTATGAAACTATGAGACTTTATATATTTCAGAGCAAAAATTTGTGGGGCTGGGGCTGGAACCCAAGGTCTCACACATTAGGCCAGTGCTGGACCACTGAGTTACATCCCCAACCCCTCCAAACTAAAATTTTAAATGGGATTGGGTTGAGGTATATTTATGAAATTGAATTTAATGATTTCTAAGGGATCTTTCAGCTCTTAGGACTGTAGTTATTTGAGATTATTAAAGATTCCCACATGAAAGGATAGGTACTATTTCTTTTTATTCCATAATTATCATCTTTAATGCATTCTTAATGACCACCAGAAAATAAATGTTATTTTTGCTCTGACTCTGCCCTTTTAGACCAATGGCTTTGACTATTGATGACATGCTACTGGAAGCTAACTTTATTTTGGCTACCTTGGCTGATGACCCAAGTCGGGCATCTTCGCCACAATCACTGTGTCTCTCGCAGACACGAAAAAGGTAAATCTATGTTTTAAATTTGTTATTGGTTGGGGAAAGCCATGCCATCTTATTCTGAAATAATTCAGTGGCATTCACTTAGGAAACAACTGGGGAGTAAAACATTAGGTCAGAAATTTTGTCCCAATCTAGAAGAGCTAGAGTAACACCAAATCCTAATGTTGAAACTTCACCAATGTTGTATCAGATATTTGTTTTTTTCTCTTCTGATCAGAACTTAACAGGGCTATCTGATTTATCTTTGTTATCATTCAAAACTCATTTTCAATTTCCAGTGTCAAGTTTTGCAGGAAAGTATGTTATTCATTACATAAAACTCTTCTTTCTCAGATACAGGGATAACCATTTATCTTTTTTCTATTTTTCTTTTCCTTAATAACATTTTGGTGGGAGGCATAATTTGTTGTAAAGTCACACAAAGTTATAGTAGAAATTTTGGAAAATACATAAAAGTACAAAGAAGAAAATAGGGGCTGGGGTTGTGGCTCAGCGGTAGAGCGCTCACCTGGGATGTGCGAGGCCCTGGGTTTGAACCTCAGCACCACATAAAAATAAATAAATAAATAAAATAAAGGTATTGTGTCCAACTACAACTAAAAAATAAGTATTAAAAAAAGAAGAATAAAATAGAATTCACCCATAATTGCCCCACTCAGAAATAGCTACTATTAACATTTAACTCACTGAATTTTCTTTCAGACTCCCCCCCACCCCAGCCCAATATACTTGTATTTTAAAACAAGATTGGGCTGGGCACATAGTGAGTTCCTGTAATCTCAGAAACTACGGACATGAAGGCAGGTGGATCAGAAGTTTCAGCAGCTTTGACAACTTTATGAGGATTAAACAACTTAAAGAATTAAAAATTAAAAATTAAAAAGGGCTGGGCACGTACTTGGCTCAGTGGTAAAGCACTCCTGGGTTCAATCCCTGGTACCAAAAATAAAAAGGAGTGGGATCATGTAATGTGTTGCTTTGTATTCTGGTTTTTCTCCATAAAATATATTGTGAATATGTGTGTTCCAGCATCATTGATTATGACTTGAAAATATAGGTTTTATTTATATTTTAAGTTTGCATCTGCACTGAACATGTACAGCTTTTTTTTTTTTTTTTTTTAGTTGTAGATGGACACCATACCTTTATTTTATTTATTTATCTTTATGTGGTGCTGAGGATCGAACCCACAGCCTCACTGTGCTGGGCAAGCACTTGACCACTGAGCCACAACCCCAGGCCCAAAACATAGGTTTTCATGACCTCATGATGTTTCATTCTACAGATTTCTAATAATTTATTTAACTTTTTTTCTCACTTGATCCTGTTAACATATAATATGAAGTCAAAGGAATTTCTAAATGATCATATACATAAATGGTAAGTTTCAACAATTAATTCTGTATTATCTAAGTACATCCTCTAAATCAGCACTATCATTGTCATTCACATTGCTCCATTAGTTATATAAAAGATATATTTCCCCAGTGACTGAGGAGGCTGAGACAGGAGGATTTCGAATTCAAAGCCAGCCTCAGCAATTTAGCAAGGACCTAAGCAACTTAGTGAGACCCTGTCTCTAAATATAAAAAATAAAAAGGGCTGGGGATGTGGCTCAGTGGTTAAGTACTCCTGGTACTTAAATACCCCTGGTTAAATATCCCTGGTACTCCTCAAAAAAAATATATATATATATAAATATATATATATATATATATATTAAAAAATATATATATATATATATTTTTTTTTTCCAAAGAAACAGCTCATTTAATCTCTGTTAACATCTCAGGTCAGATATGATACGGTCAAATTCGAAGGCTGATAAAAGTGGAACCAGCCAGGCTCCAGAGTGTATCTCGAGAAAATCAGCACCCAAGAGGCTTTATCCTAGGGAAGCTGCCACCAAAAACTCTGCAGGGGAAAACTGTGGCAGCCCTCAAAGGAAAAGAGCAAGTGGAGACAACATCTTTGAAGTACCTGAAAGCATTGTGAGTGACACAGAGGAAGGGCCAGGCTCTCCATACCTCAGGAAGGTAAGAGGACCGACTGCATATCAGTCAAGAAGTGTCAGCACCAGTCTCCCTCGGCATCCTGTGCCACAACCCACCCCAGCCTCTTGTGAATTATTATTTTTTTCTTTCTTTTTTTTGTGTGTGGAGCTGGAGATTGAACCCAAGGCCTCATGCATGCTAGGCAAACTCTGTACCCTTGAGCTACCCCCAACCCCTGTGTTGTTTTATTATTTTTTGTTAGGGGAGGTGTGGAGCTAGTCTCCGATAAGAAAAGTCTGATTTATAAACTATCAATACAAATAGTTACATTTCTCAGTAATTTCTAACAAAGCATATTCTAAGTAGAGATGTGGGCATTTGTTTTCAAGAATAAATTAGGATCATCTATAGTATGCTCTATTTTAATTCCAACAACATGCTAAAGTCATAGAAGTAATTTTTTTGGTCACACTTACTGTGCTTACTTTTTCACAGGCAACAACACAAAATCATTTTCCTGGGACTTCAGGACCCTGAAATTCACCAAAATTGCCAGTTTCCTCAGTAGGGACAGTGATGTTTAGAATTGCAAGCTCTATGACACCCATTTGAGCTCTCTTAAATTCTCTACTTTTAAGGGGAGTTGCTGGCCTCCACATGGCAAGGACGAGGCCGCTGCGCTCCGCCTGGCCTGCTGAGGGCCTGGCCGGCCCCGTGGCCCTTTCCCCTCGGCCCTGGTTTTGCACGGTGTGCTGGGACACTTGCTTCAAACCTTAGGTGGACAATGAGGGGTTCAGAGCCCTGGCTCTAGAGTTCAAGTTCCTGCATTCAAATTTCTCTTGCCACTCATCAGCTGTACAACTTGGGCAAGTTACTGATATTTGCCTCAATTTCTTTGTCAGAAAAATGGAGATAATTATATCCGTTAAATGGATCTGTGAAAAACGCACTCACAGACATACCTGGCGTGTCAGTGCTCCGCAAATGTTCGTTACTACTCTCTCGCACTCTCCTGCTTTTAGGCTCTTGGTCATTCCACTTCCCCGTCACATTGCGGTGGAAGTCCTTGGAATGGCATTCAGGGACTTTCCCTGGGGAACTTAACGTACACAGTCTTCACCTGGCTTTCCATTCTCCTCCCCGCCCCAAACAGAGCATGCGTGTGCGAGGGGGCAGCAAATAGGCTGCCTCTCTAGCAATCCCGTGTCTGGCTGAGCAAGCTGTGTGGACAGTGGCCTCAGGATGAACCTCTGCTTGGCTCTCAGCGTCTGCCATGCACACTGAAAACAGGTTTGTGAACCTGACAAGGCCAGAGCCATGTGATGCCTATATTTCCATCACTATGTGGCCCACCCTACTATTGGCTTATTTAACATTTTATTTTAAAGTAATTTCAGACTTTTGGAAAGTTGCAAAAATAGCATAAGAATTTCTATATGCCCTCCTCCTCCTCCTCCTCCTCCTCCTCCTCCCCCCCCCCCCACTGGGGATTGAATTTATGGGCGCTTAATTACAGAGCCACATCTCCAGCCCCTTTTTATTTTTTACTTCTAGATGGGGTCTTAGTTGCTCAGAGCTTCTCTAAGTTGCTGGGGCTGGCTCCTGCCACCATGCCTGGCTTTGAATTAGGTTCATCAGGGGTTGGAATCTATCTCTGGACTTTTTGTTCTGCTAATCTTGGCCTCTGCATGTGTCAGGGCAACACTGCATTATGACAGCTTCCAGGTGTGTTTTCATGGCTGATGGGTTAGTATCCCTTTGTGGATTGTGTCAGTTTTTCCTGTTTTCAATTTGTTTTTAGTTTTGTTTTGTTTTGTTAATACTTATTTTTTAGTTTTAGGTGGATACAATATCTTTATTTTTATGTGGTGCTGAGGATCAACCTAGTGCCTCACATGTGCTAGGTAAGCACTCTGTCACTTGAGCCCCAGCCTCTCAATTTGTTTTTAATTTAAGCTTTGATATCAATTTACCAGATCCATAAAAAAGGGTGTTTTGGTTTTTTTGTTTGTTTGTTTGTTAGTATTTTTTAAGTCTTAATTTACTCTGCTAGGTAGACTGTGAGTTCATTAAGGGCAGACCTGATTCTACTCATTTCTCTCTTTCTAGTGCATTGCCAGTAGTGTGGACACCTTCAACCCTGGTTTGGGACATCCTAAGAAAGTTTTTAAAACCCCTCTGGTGGTCTCGCAAAAATTCCAGATGGTTCACCGTGGGTGTGTGTGTGTGCGCGCGCGCGCACATGCATGCACATATATGCTAGGTGTGCTACTTTGGGAAAGGGGATTTTCAAAATTAGCTATAACAGAGTTCTATATCCTAAATAATGACCAGTGGCTTCTTCAATGTAGGGAGTTATATACAGTTTTCATGGGCAGTAACATAGGGAACACACACACACACACACATACACACACATAACATTTAGACATATTTTTAATTCTTTTCTTGCCCAGTTCACATGGGATTTGAGGCTACTGTCTGGCTGCCTGGACGCTGTCAAGTTTTCTCACTGAAAGACATGGGGAAGTCTCCATTATCCAGCCATGTGAGATTTAAAGGCCAAAGAGAGATAGAAAATAGCACTTACCCCAAGCCAATGGCAAATTCAGGCAGCTCTCAAAAACCAAAGTCCACCTAAGCTTCCCGGTCTCATGGGGCACCATGAATGTCCCTGAGGGATATGTGCATACGATGATACACATTCAATAGTCCTTGGTCAAGGCTAGACCCATAAAAGGGAACTGAGATTGTGTCTGCAGTTATGGCGAAAGCCAGTGTGTTAGTTTCCTATGCTCCTTCCACAGATTTATTGAACCCAGGGCCTTGTGCATGCGAGGCAAGCACTCTACTAGCTGAGGTGTATCCCCAGCCTGAATTACCATAAATTTTGTGCCATGAAAACAACACAAACGTATCATCCTACAGTTCTGAAGGTCCAAGTCTGAAATGGCTCACTGGCGAAGGTCAAGGTGTCAGCAGAACTGTGTCCGTTCAGGAGAATTGGGAGTCTGCTTCTTACCTTTTCCAGCTTCTAGAGGCCACTGTACTCTTCTCTCATGATCCCCTTCTATCTTTCTGGCTCGTTATATCTTTTCCTATTGCTCACTCGAACCCTCTCCATCCTCTTTCCGCCCGTAAGGATCTTTGTGCTCACCTTGGGCCCCCCAGCTGGTTCAGCCATCTGTTCGCAACCCTGGCTCCATCTGTGACCTTTGTTCCCCTTGGCCACGTGACATAACACCTTTACAGGTTCGTGGGCTTAGTCCACAGGGGCACTGTGTGGTCTACCATGCCACCAGCCCTGCCAAGCTGTTTTTTTTTTTTTAATCCAAAGTGTCCTTTGTTTATTGTAATCACTCATTATTAAGGTGTATTTGTGATTGAATTTCAAAGTATATGCCATTTGTACACATTGTACATTTGCTTATAGGGCAGGTGGGCTTAGCTGATATTTTAATAGTAAGTACAGTCTGGAAAGTATCAGGCTGCAGCAGTACAAACAGGATCCTAATTAATTGGCTCCTGGCTGGCCTCTGTCACAGACATCAGTCTATACTGACCCTTATTAAGCTGGAGTTTTCTATGTGGAGTGAGGAGCCCACACTGCTGTCAGAACTGCCACCTTACAGAGAGCATCCCCATCTTCTGATACAAAATTGAAGATGAGCCAAGAATGGGGCTTATTCATTCATTCATGCTACACCCATGGACTTCCACCAGTGTTTCCTGCAGGCAGGTGTCCTGGAGAGCACGTGAGGGAAACTGGTCAGCAAAATAAATAAGGTTCCCAAACTTGTTTAGAGACTAAAGAGGGTATAAGGCATAGGGACTAGATGCAGATATAAAAGTCATGCGACTAAAAATAGGGAAGTTTTTAAAAGCTGTGATAAGTTCAATGAAAAGTTCAGGGTGCTTTGAGATTTAAGGTGCTAAACAGCCTACTCCAGGAGGCCAGGGGGGTCTTCAGTGTGAAACTCGTGCTTAAGCTGAGCTGGAAGGGATAAGGAAGTGAGTTTGGGGGGGGCAGGTGCAAAGGCCCTGCAGTTGGAGGGGCATTCTGGTTTTAAGAAACTGAAGCCTGAGTTCTGCAACTGGGAGCAGATTGCCAGAGGCAGACAATGCATTGCTCAAGGGGAAGCTACATGAGGGCCAGCTTATGCTGGGAGAGTCCTGTGGACTGTGTGTAAACAGCCTTATAAAGTACCTTGGTATTTGAAGTCTTTGAAAGGATTTAACAGTTGATGGTGTTGAATGTTTACAAGAGAACTTTAGCCATGTGAAAAATGGGGTGGGGTCAGGCAAGAAAGTTCTCTCAGTTACAGCCTCCGAGTTGGTCACTCCTTAGATGAGGGGTGGAGGGAGTGGTCAGGTGAGACAGCTAACTTAGGAGGTAACACTCTTGACATGGGTTGGTTAGAAGGGGTAAGGAAAAAGGGAGAGATCAGGGGTGACTTAGGTTTTGAGGACCTGGTTCAAGGCTTGAGTATGGCAACTGGTGACACCAACCAGGCAGTAGGATGACTGAAGTTCAATCTTGGAGACTCCCTGGCACACAGATGGTAATTTCAAGAGGACAGCCCACATTTAAGGTGGTGGTTCTTAACCAGGGGCGGGCCTCCTCCCCTAGGGGACCTGGGGTAAAGTCTGGGGCCATTTGGATGATACAAGTTGGGAAGGGGGTGCTACTGGCATCTAGTGGGGAAAGGCTAGCAGCACTGCCCAGCATCTCCCAATACAGGACAGCCCACAACAGTCATCAGGTCCCAAATGCCAGCTGTGCTAAGTTTGAAAGTGAGCCCTGGTTCAAGGTTGGGTAGAAGAGGGTGAGCCTGCTGAGCGGCCCCAGGGGTAGGGTAGGGACTGCACTGGAAGGCAGTGTGAGGGGCGACCTGAGTGGATGAAGGCAAAAAACAGCCTCCAACTTTAAGGATGTGGCCATTTTCATTGATCACATCTGAAGCTTGTGAAGTGGTGGGGTCAGAAGCTTTTTAGACAGGGCTAAAGAGCAGGAAAATGAGAAGAGATGGCTCAGTTCACACAGCCAGCATAGGGTCTGGCTCAACCTGGAGTTCTGATGGCTTCAGGGGAAGTCAGCAGATCTCTGCCCCAGCTGAAGGTCATCTTGGGCCTCTGAAGTTAGGGAAGGGTCTGGTTTTAGAACTAGTTGGGCCAATAATGACATCCCATGAGCCATCACCAATAAGACAGGAGGACCACACTGGCAGCGTTCTGCAAGGGCTGTCACCTTGAGCATTAATTGGGCAAACTTTCACTTTGGAATAAACTGCAGTTTTTTGTTTTTCTCTCTAGTTTTCTTGCATGTTCTTTGGAGCTGTTTCTTCTGACCAGCAAGAGCACTTCAACCGCCCTTTGGACAGTCTGGCAATAGCAAGTGACAGTGACGAGGATGTGATTAATGGCACTGTCTCCACATCTAAAGCTCAGTGATAGCCTCGCCTTAAGCCCCAGTCTTCATGCCTAGTGTACAACAGATATGGAAGTGCATCAAGACGTCTTGAAACAGTTTTGTGACTAGTAGTCCAGTATTTTGTATTTGTGAACATTTTGGAGTTTGGGACTCTCAGAAACTGCAAAAAGTTATGCAGGTTTTTCAAATAACATCACTTTTGTCCATTGAAAAAAAATTCTGATTTTTGAAGTAGCCCTTAGAAAAAAATAATCATTCCCTCACTTTGGAGTCTTTTTGTATTTTGTAAAAGATTTGATTAGCCTTCAATTAGAACAGATTTTCAGGGATGATTTTTTATTTGCAATGTGATACAGGAAAATAATTTAATGGAAATGATGTCAAACTTTTATTGTTGTTGTTGTGGTGGTGGTGGTGGTGCTGCTGCTGGGGATCGAACCCAGGGCCTGGTGCATGCAAGGCAAGCACTCTATTAACTGGCTACACCCCCAGCCCTTGATGTCAAACATTTCTGTATTATCTAAAATAGTGTAGCAACCTCCACACAAGAGAGCCTGAGTTTGGAATGGAATGTGGGATACAAATGTCTGTTCTTTGCCCCTTTAAGAATTAGCTTCTTACCTGCATAAACAAGACTAAAAATTTGGTACAAAAACACTGTTATGTAATACCTTATGGTGAGAGCCTCTCCCTCCCCCAGACTTGTTTGCAGTTCTATAACCCCAGGAACCAGCCTTCTGTAACATCTTATTGCTAAGTCTTTGGGAAACCATCAAACAATAAGGAAGTGTTAACTGGCAAGCAATTGTTCTTCAGATTTTGTGAGGAATTTGAAAAGGTGGCTGAGTGGATTAGTATGCTTCAGAACTGTGAACAGAGTTCTAAATGAAACCAGAATG